ACGGCGCACATACGGCGCACTACGATCCACCTTCTGTCGGTTTTTCAACGAACACTTTGGTGGTTCGCATTACATATTTGGACGGGTTAGTGAAAGGTGTGTTGATTTTTGGCGCGTCTGGGTATTATAATAGTATATTATCTTAAAATATTTGGTAGTAATGGAGTGGCCAGAAGAAAATATTATCAAACTTATTGATGCTTACCGTGGGAAATCCCTATTGTGGGATCCTCAACATAAGGACCATTTTAAAAAACCACTTAAAGCCGATGCCTGGAGGGAAATAGAAGCTGAAATAAATATACATGCGGACCAATGTAAAAAAAAAAGGTGATTTCCTTGTTGTCTTCTTACCGACGTGAAACACACTGGCCATTACCAAGAAAGCACCACTCATCACAGAAATAGCGTAAGTTTTATCGCTTGACAGAGACATGATTATCTACAATTACTAAATGTTCGTCAGTTTTCTTTGGATCGCGGAAGGTTCGTCAAAATGAAAAATTTCAACGAACATTGAACGCGCCACGAACGCGCGGCGCACACAAGGCGCGAGGTTCGCGGCGCGCATATGTATACGCACCTTAATAAAATACATTTTGTTTGCCCACGTGATTGTATCGAGTCGTGGCTTGGCAACGTGCAGCTGCCAAGATTTTGTTAATAATCCAATTTTAGCAATATTGTAAGATATCAATTTATGGGGGATAAAGTGCATACTGGGATTTCTGGCGTTGCATTCAAAGGTGACCCATTTTTAAATTAATCCTTATAAAAAAAAAATGTACTTAAATATAATGCACAACTAGGCGATTTTATAATTTACACGTGATTTATTTTTAATATTTTAAATATTTAATTAAAAATCCTTTGTAATAGGTATATATTTTATAAATAGGTATATAAAAATAGGTATATATTTTAGAAATATATACCTATTACAAAGGATTTTTAATTAAATTTTTAATACATGGTATACAGCCAACTACAGGAATGTAGATTGCTTGTGGATTTTAAATATTGTTCAACTTGTCTTTTCCTTAATGCAGATTTGCAATGATTGTCTTATCTTTGTTGCGGAATCACTTAATATTTAGCAAAAATTCTAAAAATAAATTAGATAAACATTTAAAAAATTAACGGAGATAGATTCTAGACACAGTTTTAGACACAAGTTTTATAAAAACGTTTAATGTGTTATGTTAATAAATTTAAGTCACATTTAAATAAAAAAAAACAGCATGTAACACTCTGCAATGTGTGTCACGCAATATTTAGAGGAAGTTGGTATTAGTAAAATGAACTGGCCAGCGTGTTCGCCAGATCTGAACCCAATAGAGCACGTTTTGAACATGGTGGGTAACGGTTAACGAACTTTGCTTGGCTCTAGAAGAGGAATGGCCAAACATCCAGCAAGATGATATTCGCAACCTCATAGGCAGCATGAGCCGACGTGTACAGGTAGTTATAGAGGCGAGGGGAGGCAATACAAAGTATTAAGCTATTTTTTACTAGTTTTTCTTTGTTATTGTTATCATTGTTCATTAAAACCAAGATCATGTCGTTGCTTTTAATCATTATTTAAATACAGTGCTTCTGGGACGTCGATATGACATTCCTTCGATATTAGTCACCAAAGCTTCCATCGTCGTATTACAATTTAATACAAAGGATAATGGTAATAGTAGGAAAAGATGTAAATTGTGGGTGGCAAAGTCATTTCGCTCCTAAAAATGAACCAATCCATATTTTCACATGAAACAAAAAACATCATACTTAGATGACATGGTTGCAACCGAAAAATAAGGGTTAACGAAAATCCGTTAATGAGTTATTCCACAGGATGTTTCAAAGTTGGCATTGTACAAAAAGGGTGTACATATGTGGGAAATTATCAGTATAATTTCAGAGTATGTGGACTGTATTATATAGGGCTGGTTCAAATAAATTAGGATAAGTAATAAAAGGTATACAGACAATAGCAAATTAAGTTTATATAAAGTCTTACCACAATATTTCTGCTCCACACTCTCGCGGTTTTTCTGCTTCACACTCTTGCGGTTTTTGCTCTTATGCGGAATATGTCCGGGCACACTCGCGGTTTTTCTAAACACGTGTTTCGCGGTAATAAACTTTGCGAGATAGAGCACACTTTGTCTGAACACGATTTAAAATAGTGTTTGCGGTATTTTTCGTGCAACTAAAACTGGAGAGAGATAATTAGCGATAGAAAAACAGCCAAGATAGATGCTGTTTCGATTAACACCTTTCGATTAACCCCATATAATAAAGTCAAATTCAAAATTTTATTGAAAAACTCACTATGCTTAATCAAAATTTACAAATTTTTACAGTCTGTTAAAAAAATAATCAAAATAGGATTAACAATAAATACTTTGAATTTGACCAAAATTTTCTCCATTGCGTTTTTTTTTTCATCTGAGTGTATTTGAAACAACAATAAAATCAACCGTAACATACGCAGCAGAAACCTTAAGTTTTACTTATAAAGAAGAAGAATTGAAAGATCGTTGAAAGAAAATTAGAAAATAGAATTATTATGGGATCCAAGAGAATTAACCAAAACGAAATAATATTATGAATGTATTTTGAAATAGATAATATTATAACGTGTTTATTAATTCTAATTTATTGTTCTTATCTTAATTTACTAAAGGTTCAATATTTTTAACACTCACGAATTTATCAAAGTCTTTATTACTACTAATTTATTTTACACTTAATAATTACAAATAATTTATTTACGTGCGATACAATTTACCACGAGACCGGACTTCTTGTTGACTCTTGTTCAATAAGATCCATGTTATTTATATATAATATCGCCAGACCAAAAACGTCTGGATATAAGTCGATGACTTTTCACCCATTAGGAGGTGACTCATTCAGCTACACTAGAGAAGTCGATCGCCTTCTGATGAATTCAGAGGGTCGTCGTCGACGACATTCTTAGTACCTGGACTGGTTATTCGACCCTTTTGTAGAATTCGGTAGTATTTGACCTAGAACATTAGTGAATGAGTAAATATGTTTACAATTTTTATACGCCGTAATATTTATTATTGTAACAATATACTGAAGGAAGAAAACATTATAAGGAAAATAAAAGTAGAGAATTAGGTGATAGGGACATATATTCAGGAAAACAAAAACGCAGCTCAAAGAAGATTAACGGAGTGGACATCAGAAGGAGAAAGACCAAAAGCGAGACCTAAGAAACCACGGCAGGAATAACACATACAAACACTGGAATAAAGAACTGGACATAGACACTACTGGTTAGAGCAGCTTGGAGGCAAGATATTAACGAAGTCAGAAATTATCAGGACCTGTAAGCAAATGTACCGAATATCAAATCAGGTGGACTGATCGACCAAGGCAAATGGATCTGAAAAGTTGGTCAGACCAGATACACTTTATTTTGGAATATAAAGCTTGTAAATAAACTAAAAATAACGATATCAGTCTGTTGAATACAGGCACTCAAAATTATAAACAATCGATAAAAAAATTTACGAAAGCCTTTATAAAAAACAAACACTACAATTCTTATTCACGGGTATCTTCCATCCTTGCCACTAAATAATGGAGTGTCATTGAAAGTTGTATCAACATTTCTTATAATACTTTTTCTTTGCAATAAATTATTAGGAATAAATGCAGTTAGATTATGTTCCTTTAAACGTTACACACTAGCTATACTTTTTATATTTTGGACAACAGAAACCTTATGTAAAGTGTGTCCTACCTTCATTGGAAGAATTTTACCTAAATTCTCCTCCTTATTTGTTTTTTCGATGAAGATATATACTTGATTGGAATAAAGATGAGCTTTTTGCAAGTTGAACAATTTTTTGGGTGGCTCTTGTAGTGGCATTTTTGTATTCTGGATCTCCAAACTATTTTCAATATTCAACAATAAGATCTTCTTCCTCCATTGCAATGAAACGAAAAATCACTTTGGCGTAAATTATATTAGTGAAAACTGGAAATAAATACCGGCCTAATTAATGTACTAGCTACATAAAAAGTAAAATAGTAAATACCACAGTGTCGCAAAAAGCGTATTTACTAGTTTTTTTGACTTATCACAGGCCACCGTGATACCGCTTGGTTTTTTCAGTTTCATATGTTAATTTTTGTATGATTTCTGTGAGTAATTTAATTTTTAGGCCAGTTAATAGCAATTAGGATTTTACCTTAAACTTTTACAAAAACCTGTGGTAAGGAGTTGGCCATGCCATGAATAATGATTTTACGGATTTTGAAATTTAGTGAAACAAAGAATATTGTTGGACATTACCAATGCGGATGAACTGCCGGAAAGTCAACTAGTTAACTGTATTCCAAATACACCATATATACTACATCATCTCTTGGTCGACTTCAAAACAGCTTATGACAGTGTTAAAATAATTGTTCTATATAATGCAATGTTATATTTTGGGATCCCACCAAGTGAGTAAAATTGGAAAAACTAATGCAAAACGTAAGCTCATGCTTCCTTTTTAATATTTTAAAAGGCGTTGTAAAAGGTAGTCAAGCAGATAAATATTATATTGAATGGAATTAAATTCTCGCATTCGCTGATGATATCCTAATAGTGGACAGATTTATGGCAGACGTAGCGCAGTATTTTACAAAGTTTACGAACGCGGCAATTAAACTAGAACTTGTTATCTTCTTCTTCCTCTTCTTGTAGGACATGGACCAGTTTATATATCTTTCTATGTGATTTTTTTTGTGCTGGTTTTATGTGTGTTTGTCCAATTTGCGATTCATGTGGGTCCATTCTGTCCATGGTTTCTGCATTTGCGATGTCGTGTTTGATTCCATCTCACTACATCCTGGACTACAGTTTCTCTTAGATTATTATTATTATTATTTTATTAAATTTTACCTAATTTTAAAAATTTTACACTTTCATTGATACATTCGTTAAAAAATTCGTAGTAACAGTTTATTTAATTTTGTTTCAGGTAAAATTGATTTGGATGAGCTCATTAAGGCATTCAGTGATTTGGGCATACCGCTGGAAAGAGGGGAAGCGAAGAATCTACTGCAGAGGTAAGTCAACATTAGATACTTATTGCTTGCATATTAGAATTTAAATATTAAATGTAGCTTAAAATCATCTTCATACATTAGATTATTTGGAAAAGAACACAGCAAAGATATTTGTATGGAGAATACAGATTGAACGAAATAAATTCGGAACATAGGAAACATCATGTATTTCGGCTCATTTCTGCTGTAGGAGGTTGGCCAACAAAAGGTTGTCAAATAATTATATTATAAAAACCCAATACTCTGCGGGCTGCTGGATTCTGAACTCATAAAAATTGAAAGCTACACATAAATCTACGATTTTTATATGCTGTCAAACCACTTATAGTCCAGGAAATGAAGCATTTCACCTCGTAATTTTTTCGTCCTGCGTGGATTAACTTGAAATTTTAACAGAAGGTAGGTAATAGCCTAAGGATCAAAATATATATCGAACCAAAGTGCGCCAAAGCCTTGGGGTGGTTGCCACCCCATCCCGGGGGTGAAAATTTTTTTTTACGTTTTAACTACAGGTTTAGATTAAAAAAGTGATTATAAACAAAAAATGTTCTATACATTTTTTTTTGTAATACTGATATTTTGAAAGTAACAACTTTTAGACGAAAAAATCGACGTTTTTAATCGATTTTTCGCGAATAACTCGAAAATGGTACATTTTATCAAAAAATTGTAGAGAACAAATTTGTAGCTTTTAAAAAGACAAATTCAATTCATTTTTTAAAATGTTTTTGCGATATAATAGGAACCGAAATACGGCCTATCAATGTTCAGCGGTTTTCTTCAAATGCCAAATTTGAAAGATTCAAATTCAAATATCGGGAAAATGATGCATTTTTGGAAGACAACTCACGCAACCTTTTTTAAAGAGCATAAATAGATCTATCATAAAAAAGACTCTAGCTCGAAAATTGAGTGAGCTGTGATGAAAATAAGGCCAATACCTTATTTTTTTTACGAAAAAATCGATGAAAACAACCCCCTAACCACTCCCATAGTTAAAATCGATCTTCACCCTTCTGCAATTCTCTTTGTACATGTATTGTTAATACGGCCAAGAAGTTTGACCCATTTAAAATGCTTAGTTTTAGAAAAAGTACAGCTTAAAGCAAGAAACAATGACTAAAAGTTTCCTTTATTTAAATTTGTTGTACAATGAATATTTGGCGAGATATAGCCGTTTAAAGCATCGATTTACGATCAAGCACCATCTTTTTCGAGCCCTTTAAACTCACCCCATTTAAAAACCAAGGGTTCCAAAAAGATTTAATTCACAGATCCTTGTAGCTCTTAAAAACCTTTACAAAATCGTTTTTGAGGAAACACTCTATCGTTAAAAATGAAGGAAATACGTTAAGAAACCAATTAATTTTTTTTTTCGGAAAATTCCATTAGTATAGTACAGTACATTTTGGGGCATAATAATCTACAAAACTGGTATATTAGGTAGTGGGGCGTTATACATTCGAAATTTTAAGCGTTCATATTTTGAAATCCCATACAACAGAATAAAACATTTGCTCATATGTTTATGGCTTGGCAATGAAAATATCAGAGCAACAGACGGGGATGGTATTCCAAAGATGGTTTTTTATTACCCGTACGCATGAACAAACAACCTCCATCCGATGAACTTTTGAAAATTATTTTTTGCCAATGCAAAAAAGGATGCGGCGTTTCATGTGGGTGCAGAAAAGTTGGTTTATACTGTAACTTTACTTGTTCTGGGTGCTCAGGTGAAGGGTGCAATAATATTCCACCAATAATTGAAGAAGGTGAGGATGACATAGATCACGATGAAGATGTAATTGATGACGAATAAAATTAATATTATAATTGTTTTACCTATAAATGTAAATATTTTCAACTATTTATGTAAATGTATAAGAATATATGGTGCCTTTTTATGTTGATAATTTTTTTTGTTTATAGTTAGTGTTTAATAGTGTTTAATAATAAATTAGTTTATAAACTGCACCCTTTACAACTGCAATGTTGTAAAGGGTGATTTTCAAAAGTTGAAAAGTTGCAAAATTTTGGCAAAAAATTGTTTTTACCTATAGCACTCATAACAATTGATTTTTAAGGGTTGAAAATGTATGAAATTGTATTTTAAAGTATAAAAAAATCACTATTTAACTAATCCAAACCAAATTTCACTCATCTTAAGATTTGTAATGTTATTTTACAATTTTTGAAAATTAGGGGTAGTTTTCACCCCTAAGAACAATCAGGGTTCATCGGCATGACATAAACTATAAAGCAGAGGGTGAGTTAAGCTGAATTCCAATTTTTTATGCAAATCGTTCCAAGGCGAAATCATTTTCTTCGCATTACTAATTTTTTTACATTAATCTCTAACAAGGGTCGCTTTTTAACGGTTGAAATATGATGGAACTTTATTCAAATGCACGAAACTATCATTATTTAATTAATTCATACCAAATTTTACCCATATTCAGGTTTAATATATTATTTTATAATTTTTGACAATTAGGGCTAGTTTTCACCCCTAAGAACAATCAGGGTTCGTCTACATGACATAAACTATAAAGCAGCGGATGAATTGAGCTTAAATCCAAATTTTTATCCAAATCGATCCAAGGCGAAATCATTTTTTTAGAATTAGTAACTTTTTTACATTAATCTCTAACAAGGGTTGCTTTTTAAGGGTTGAAATATGATGGAACTCTATTCAAAAGTATAAAATAATCATTACATAACTAATTTAAACCAAATCTTACCCATATTCAGGTTTAATATGTTATTTTATAATTTTTGACAATTAGGGGTAGTTTTCACTCCTAAATCATTCAGCGCACTTCGGTTCGATATAGATTTTGATCCTTGGGCTATCACCTACCTTCTGTTAAAATTTCAACTCAATTCATGCAGGACGAAAAAATTGCGAGGTTTTAACCATTTTCGAGCTTCATTTCCTGAACTATTAAAAACTTCCTTAGACAAGCAACATTGTTACACAAACAACATTGTTGCGAGACAGATAGTTGAACGATATTTTATACAATGTCTATACCCAGGTATGGATTTATTTTTGTCCAAGTTTTATATTGGTCCACTATTTTAAATGCAGTTCAAACAGACATATATTAAATTGTATGATCCGTTTTAAATTCGTTCAATCTGTATATATCTGATAAATATCAAGGAGTAGTGTTTGTAGACTATTACTATTGAATTTTAAAGGTCATCATCATTATCATCAATTAGCCTATATTTGTCCACTGCTGAACGTAGGCCTCCCGTAAAATTTTCCACCTATTTCTATTTTGAGCTTCTTGCATCCAGTTTGTGGTGATGCGCTTGATATCATCCATCCATCTAGTCGGTGGTCGTCCTCTGCTTCGATATGCATCTTACCTTGGTCGCCATTCTAGAATCATTCTGGTCCATCTACCATCTCAAAGGTACATCGCCATAATTTATCTTTGTTGCACAAATATGCCTTTTCCAAATGCATACGATATATCAAAACTCATTAGAGCTTTTGATCAGAACACTAAACAAGATAAGATACATTCTAATATTCTAAATACTTAATGCATAAATGTAAATATTTAACCAATGAAATATTCTAGAAAACTTCAGACTTTAGAAATACTCTAAAACTAGATGGCTTTAATATGTAGATATCTCAGAAGAAAACTTTTTACAGGATGTGTGTCAAAAGAAATAAATTTTATGAAAACAAACTAAATTTAAAAAGCACAATCACAAAAGAAGGAGTGCAACAGAACAAGAATTTGAAGAGGTGATCATGGAAGAAATAGATGCTTGACAGTGTTGCTAATTATGTGTAACAACTCATTCATTATTCTACTAATCTTTCAAATTCACATTTCCAGGAGTTTAGTTTTTTGATATCAGTTTGTTTTATTATCCAGATTTATATGCTAAAGACCACTTTGGTGAAGACGTCATCATATCATTCTTGTGTGAAGATTTCGTTTAAGGTTACGGTGTTAAAGTAAGTTCTTTAGCTTTATGACTGTTTGTTACAACTACGTCTTTTGTTGTTTGATTTCCATTTTCATTGTTACTATAACTATCTGTTGTTTTGTCGTCGATGATCAGGTTAACTTTTAACTAACAACATTTTTTGTTTTGTTTTTGTTATAAGTATTGTTTTCTTCAATATCATCATTATGACACGTTGTTATCGTATGTTATATGCATGTTATAGTATGTCCTATAATTTTTCCATGTTGGTTGCAAGACCGAAACATAACAGTTATATTAACTACATATGTGTCAAAGGGACATACTACTCTATTTTGAAATAATATTCACATCTTTTTTTATTTGGGAGTCATTGTAAATTGATTGTTACAGTACAAAATATACACTAAGTCATTGTACAAACTGTACCGGGTGGTCCATTAAGCCGATCTCTCGGCTATATATCAGAAACTATTCATGTTATAACTTTAGGAAAAAAAATCCTTTGTAAAAGTGGCCAAGAGAAATCGCTGGAAATAATTTTCAAGATTCTGGATTAACCGCTAGGGGCGTAACCTGCGAAGAAAATTTTGAAAACCATTTTTTTTGGGAAATATGTCCAATTATACCAAGTGTTAAATAAGTAAACTAGAAAGGCGCATAAATTCTGCACAAAGTTGTTCAAGTACTTTTTTTTATTTTTTCAAATAAAGGGTGGGGGAGAGTGGGAAAGTATTTGTGGATAAATACCTATAACTTTGGTTTGGTCCAACCGATTTTAATTAAATTAGTGTCATTAGAAAGAGTGTGGATGAATTAATTCACATCTACTATAAAATACTTGCATTTAGTTTTCATAGTGGTAGGTAGAGGGGACTTTCAAAGAAAACAAATTAAAATTTGTTTTTCTTCAAAATTTTTAATGGAAACACCTATTTATTGTAAATTATAATGGAACTGGAATAAATTCGTAACAAAATGGAGCAAACCGCATGTTAATAGCTTTTGTTGAACTCGAGAAATAAATAAAAACTCATAAACATAAGT